AGTGGTAGTAGTGGTAGTAGTGGTAGTAGTAGTAGTAGTAGTAGTAGTAGTAGTAGTAGCAGTAGCAGTAGCAGTAGTAGTAGGAGTAGTAGTAGTAGTAGCAGTAGCAGTAGCAGTAGCAGTAGTAGTCGTAGTCGTAGTAGTAATGGTCGTCGTAGTAGTAGTAGTAGTAGTAGTAGTAGTAGTAGCAGCAGCAGTAGGTAGCAGTAGCAGTGGGGCAAAAGTAGTGGTAGGGGTGGTGGTGGTGGTAGTAGGACGAGTGGTACGAACACATTGAGAAACCTTCTGCTAAATCGTATACGATAGGTCATGTATGTAATATGCAACCTGTCTGCATTGATAGACACACCTGCCAAAGCCCAAGGCGGCGACGGTCGCCGCCGATCCGAGCGGTCGTCGACATCGCGGCGCAGGAAGTTTTCCACGTCGCGCCGCCGCTGCTTGCGGGGCGGTGGCGCCTGCTGCGTTGGGCCGTTGGGCGGGGGAGGCAGACGTTTTCTTCAACAAAAGAGGGCGTAGGGCCGACAGATAACATTCCTCTTCTCGACTCCCCTTCCCACAGCGGGGTAGAGGGTCCCGAGGGGACATCAGTTTGGCCGACGCGCACCCTGAGAGAGTGCCCTGCACCATGAAGCCCACACAGGGACAGCCCTTGACCACCCTCGAACCACTGGAAGCCGTAACGCTACAGGTCCCATGAAAGGAGCCACTTGAACTCTGAGCCCCTTCTAGGCGGCATCAGAAAATGAATCGTCTGAAAAAGAAAGATCACGCATATATATATATATATATATATATATATGTATATTTTTTGGAAAATAAATACATACATACATACATACAGAAATATAACCATATTGATATCCGCATATATCCCCGCATACATCCGTACCAAGGGTGCATGCACCTTGCCGGTAGAAGCTCCGCTTGTCAATCTGAGTCAATCTGGCCTCTGGCTCCAGGGGCCCATCCTTGCAAAGCGGCAGATCACAGGGCTCAATATGGCCCATCCTCCCGTAACATAGAGGCCTGAATAATTAGAACAGGGTTTTATAGGGGGGGTTATTCTTGTATAATTACAAAGGGACCAATAATATGATTAGTATAATTAGTCCGACCCCTATATAATACGTGAGTTGAGAGTGTGCCAGCCGCAGGCATGATGGGCGCGGAGCCCCCCCAAATTCCCCCCCAAAAACACCCAAGAAAACGGCTGCAGTAAGCCAATCCCCTTGAAAATCCTCACACAAGCACCCGTATACGCGCACAGTCACGTACACACACACACACACATATTAAAAAAAAATGCACTCCGTGCGCTCCTCTGGGGCCCCAGGCCAGGAGGCTCTGCTTGCGGCTCTCGTCGAAGGCCCGGAGGCGGGCTGAGCGTTCGAGGAGGATCCCATGATGATGCTACAATAAAAACAGGGGCAATACTTCGAAAGAAGATTACCATAATTGGGTTTAGGGTTTAGGGTTCAGGGTTTAGGGTTGAGGGTTGAGGGTTGAGGGTTGAGGGTATAAGATATAATCGATATACTATTACAATACTACGGGCTCCGCATTTTTCAGCAGTTTCGGGTTCAGAGCTCTGACTGTCGTGTGCCAAATCCCGTGAACGACCGTCAAACCAAATGACTTGTTGCGGCTTAACACCCTATAGACCCTAAACCCTAACCCCTGAGCCCTAAACCCACCCCTAAACCCCTAAACCCCTAAACCCCTAAACCCCTAAACCCTATAACCCTATAAACCCTATAACCCCTAAACCCTAACCCCTAAACCCCTAAACCCTATAACCCCTAAACCCTAACCCCGAAACCCCAGAAGAGGCAGAGGCCGCCAGCGCAGCTTGGCTCGGGGCTTCGGGGCGGTGACAGTCTCGCGGGTGGGGAGGCTCCTCGGATTGACGAAAGTTGGGCTTCTGCAAGGTTTAGGGTTTTAGGGTTTTAGGGTTTTAGGGTTTTAGGGTTTTAGGGTTTTAGGGTTTTAGGGTTTTAGGGTTTTAGGGTTTTAGGGTTTTAGGGTTTTAGGGTTTTAGGGTTTTAGGGTTTTTAGGGTTTTTAGGGTTTAGGGTTTTTAGGGGCTCTATTGACGAATGCCGCAAGTTGGCTCTGTTCTTCTACTCTTGGTTGCGCAACTTTAGGCCAAGCCTTGGCAGTCTGACTGCTATGCGAAATCAGACCCGAAGTCCTCATTCGGAAGGACGCTCAGAATACACAAAAACCTATACACCATATAGAGAATACATAGAAGGGATAGAACTATAGAACAGACATGTTATATATCGTATATGTGTATAAATAGATTTAAAAAAAAATATTTGGTTTCGCTCTGGGTCCTGGACGCTTCACTCGCTGCGGCCCTGCATGTTGTGGCATATTCCGGGCCCTAACTTTTAAGTTGCAAAGCCCTCGAGTGTCGAATTCGGCTCTTGGTCTCTGATTGTTCCCCCAGAGAGCCCTGTTAAAGGGATAGGGAAGTAGCTACAGGCGCCGACAAACCGTGATTCGAGGATGAAGGTCACTCTTGCCGACGTCCTTTCAGTATCTTCCTGATATTCCTGGGTGCTCCATTTGAGGGGTGGGGGCTGGGGATTGAGGTCCGACATGCGGATCTGGGCTTCAGTCAGTGGAGAGACCTTGGGATTCCTCAAGCCATCCGATGCTTCAAACAGGCCCTTAAGAGGCAAGGAAGCGCTGAATCTCAGGGGCCTTTGTCCCCTCTGTCCGGTTGCTTTTGCTCCTCCTCCTCTTCCTTCAGCTCCTCCGGCTCCTCCTGCTCGTCGCCCTCCCTTTCGCTCCTGAGCGGATTCAGGGCCCAAAGGGACGAGGACCACTCAACCCGTTTAGGATTTAGGGGTTCTTCCTGTCAGCTTTCTCTATGGAGCTGGATTCTGCTACAGCAGCCTTTGGCTCCCACAGTTTGCTTGGGAAACACATTCTTCGCTGTACATGCTGATAACTATACTATACTCCCCTTAGAAACCCTAATAAAAATGATAGTCTTAATGTCCCCTTGAATTTTATATAACCAAAAATAAAAAAAATATTCCCCAGGGGCATATAGTATAGACCTCGGCTGCTGGGCTACTTCAGGCCAGGCGCTCTGGGGAGCGCTTCTTGGATTTCTTGGCGCTGGCAGCATGGACCTGCCAGGGAGCCGCGGGGGCGGGGATCGAGGCTTGGACAAGGCACCGCTGTTGAAGCCTTCCGGATTGCAGTCGCTGGTGAACTCTACTCAGCTTTCCTGGGTTCAGCTCCGGGCTCAGATCACTGGGGCTTAGGCTCGTCCCAACTTACAAGTCGCACGATGGCCTCGAGCTTATGGGTTTACACGAACCCCCAAAATCCCCATGTGCACAAAACCAGGCGCAACCAGGCCTCCTCTCGTTCACCACTGTCCTGCAAAGGAGCCGCGTCTCGCAGTCTCAGTGTAACGTCTTAACTTGCGGTGTCCGCTCTTGCCAGGAGCCCTGGCGTAGAGCATCGACAGGGGGATCCGTGCTTAGTCGGGCCTCAGGGCCTCGAAATTTTCGTCGCCGGTTCATGTGCAGACTTGATTGTGGTGGAATTCCAGCCGCCGAGGAGACACGAAAGTTGTTTTCAGAGTCCTTCCAGCATCTAGGCAAGCCCACACCTAATTTTATAAGCATTGCACTTTGAGAACGCTTTCCGACCTTCTGCAAGCCTTGAGAGCACTCCTTGCGACTGAGAACCCGAACCTGATTCAACTTAATGAACAAACCGCACACTACAAGCAGGCGGACCCGAAACCGCCGAAGCGGATTTTGCACTGGGGGCCCGCGCGATCCGCTTATCAATCCTTGCAAAGGGAGCACGGATCTCAGCATTTTCTGGGGGGGGGGGGGGGTTGGGCGGGCTTTTTGCACACCTCCCTGCTGATTTGGGGGCCCCGCTTTCGGCGGAAGGCTGCCTGCGAAGAAGGTCGGCCGGAAAACCCCCGGGGAAAACCCGTCAGTGCTTCGGGGTCCCCTCTACGCAGGGGTTTACGAAAATAGGGGACCCCTAAGTTAGACCCCAAATAATAGGATTCCCTGATAATGAGGACACCAATAAGGCAGCGCTATAAACTCCGCAGGTCGGGTGACCCCAAAGCCCCCCAGCCCTCCCAAGACGGGCTAACCAGCCACACGCCCTGACACGTTGCGTGCGACACGAGGACGGTTAGCGGCACGCGGGCGGAGACACGTTTCGACACGTTTTTGGCTGTTTATACACACGTAGGACGCATCGTGCAGCATGTAGAGAGCAGATGCGCAAAAGAACCAACTCGGCGAACGCCAGACCCCAAGATGCGTCTCATAGCTGGCAGCCTTTGCGCGAGGGCATCGTTCAGATACATGCCCGTGTCTATATGAAGCCAAAAAAAACACACACACACACACACACACACACACACACAAAATCCTTCCAGAACCCAAATTTGTGGTAACCTTCGAAACCTTGGTACGGCCGGATTACCTCAAGGCGTGATAACCGACCCAGCCTCCCAGACTGCGGCAACCCTTGCAATTCAGGGCCTTTCAACCCGGGGTTTTGCAGCCAAACCTTTACCTATAAAGCCCCCAAACAACTTAGATGATACTTTTTGCGCAGAGGCTGGGGTTTCAGGATGGGTTGTGTTCGAGGTTGGGGAGTCTGGTAGATCATAAGCTCGGTAAATTACGCTACAAAACTGACGGCATCTAGACCAGCGCCAGCACGGAATCCATGCCTCGAGAGGACGAGGAATCTGCAACCATCAAACACCGAACCATGGTATCGATCTAGTCAGCGCTTTCAGAGCAGCTGTTGAGGGATGATGCTCATGCTCGATTTCAACGCTGTGTATTGGTGTTTGAGGGCTTCGAACAGTTTCTTGTGAAAGCACTGTATATAAGACGTACGCCAGGTAGGTTTAGGTTGCAGTGCAATGGCAGCCACGCTTTGTTGCGGTCTGCGTGCAGCGCGCGATCCATTTTGCGACGCTTGCTGGCACTACTCGTCATCGTCCAACAGGCCGGCCCATTTCAAGGTGACATGCATCGAGTAGTGATCGAGAACACGTACCCCTGTCACAAGCGGATGCAAACGCACAGCCATTCGTTTAGTGATCCTGACAACATCCTCGCCAAGGTAGCACGATATATATCGCCAATTCCGCCCCTTGCAAACGACATCGTAAACGAGGTGCTCGAAATGATGAATCTTTGGCCTAAGATGATACCTTAGCGACTGCTGCTGCAATGCCCGCTGAGCGAGTTTGTCGAAGGCATTGCGAAAGAGACTGTACATGTGCTCGCACAGGTCGCGGTCTGCTTGTTCAAGAAGCCGCCTGGTCTGCAAAATTAATGTTGATGAGCTTATTGGGGTGTCATGCCAAAATAGATTCTGGGCAGCGCAACTTCAATTAGACGATGCTTGGACAATTGCACATGGCGGAATATCGACAAGGCGCCCGTTCGTCAGCATAGTGTGCTGCAGTTGCTGCAAGCCCATGCACAATCCCGCTCGCAGCCTATGGGGACCGCAGGCGCAACTAAAGGAAAAGGACTAAAGGGTACTCATGAGGGTTTGTAGGGTTTATAGGGTGTATAGGGTTTAAAGGGTTTACAGGTTTTATAGGGTTTATAGGTTTAAAGGGTTTATCGGGTTTGTAGGCTTTATGGGGTTTACAGGGTTTATAGGCTTTATAGGGTTTAGAGGCGTATATAGGGCTTATAGGTTCTAGGGTTTAGGCGTTAGGGTTTATGGTTTAAAAACAAGAGTGCTACTTGAGGCAGGTCTACAGGTTCTGCTCCGTGGGGTCGCGATCTGCAAACTGGCCAGCAATCATTGATAGCCATATCAGCAATCCCTTCGCCGCAGCTGCCGAGATGTAATGCTGCGAAACTGCCGCGAAGGAGGAGGCCCCAGGCTTCAAGACATCAGTGGAGAACAGTTTTGGGTTCACACGGTCACTGTCGTTTCCGGCCCAGGATCGGTAGAGCTGGCCGAGGTGATCCAAGCGCTGTTGACGATGTTGCTTGTCAATGAAGCTTCGATCGTCCGTCCAGTCCAGTAGTAGTGATATGGCAATATCTGGGATAAGCGCCAAATCAACGATATGCATGGCGTCTGGGAATATACCTTACAACACACCCCCACATCTTTAAGCACAGAATTAGATGGATCCGTACATGGTCGCCTAAGCCTGAACGGACCTGATATCGAAGCATTCGCCAGGGCTCGCTTGGGGCAAAAGAATGGAATCGTTGTCAAACTCGAGTGCCCGTGGACTTGCACGAACTCCGACACATCGGTCAGCCTTATGCGTTGTAAGCTGCTTGCGCCGCTGGGACCTATAGCTAGTACGTAGCTAGATCGATGAGAAACTACGTCAGCAAATCGGTCCTACATGTGAGAACATGTTGTGTTTGAGGCTCTACAAAACCCTCTCAAGAAATAAGCAGTTTGAAAGTGGCTCACGCAGCCCCCATGTTGCCCACGAGGCTCGTGGACCTATGCGCAGCATCGCGGCCGAAGCTTGTGAAAAGCATCTTCTGCGCTTCTTCATCCAGATCTCCGGCACAAAGGTTGGTGGCCTCTAAGACACCCAAGAAGAAGAACTTTTACCAAACAAACGCCAACGATTAGATTAGATCTTGGATTGGGAATAGGGCTGATCATGGGGAAGGACAACTTTGGACAAATCCCGCCCTGCAGTAATAGCAAACCTCCGCACATGACGCGTGTCCTCAGCCACGTCGACGCAGAGTAATCAGGATTTCAATTTATATGGCTAGAATCCCGAGGTGTGAAGCCTATGTGGTTCCACGAACAATTGAGCAGCCGACTAGTCAAGTGGAAAGCCAAACGCATGAAGTCTTGATCGCCCTCGAAGCCATCCAGTATCCCCACATACTTGCCGGCAATGCGGGCGCCCGCCCTCCGGGCTCGCTTGGGATCTTTGAAAGGCATCCCTTTATGGTCTGTCTCTGGGTGGACACCCAAACCTGGCTGGACTATGGAGGCTGTTGGTTCTAGACAAATGTTCTTGGGAACAACAAACCAAACACACCTAAGTACAGCAATGAGCATTGCAGGCTCTGTCACAAAGGTGTTTGAAAGACCACGCCAGAACAGCCATAATCTCGTCTCTGCATTCGTCGGAACACATCGTAGAGTTCGTGCAGCTCAGCAAAAATCTGCTTGAAAGAGTAGAAGCTGCTGCCAGCGGTGGAACCAAGGTAAAGATTTCAAAGCTTTGGTGTCCTAAGGAAGACAAAGCGTCACACACAGGACACGTGGATGGAGCCTACTTTTGAAGAACATATAATCATTAACTGCAACTATACTTTCCAAAAACTGTCAGAAGAGTTTCTCATAGCCTGGGCCCCGTCTCCGTAGATTCTTAAGGGGATGGCGTGCGCCAAATCGATGCCCTCCGACTCCAGCCGTTCGACAAAGGAAGAGTCTATGACGCGCTCACGCTCCCAATGTGCAGCTAGCTCCTGCACTCGCCGTGCTGCTTGGCACTTTGATTGTGGAGTTCAGGGATGTGGTATACTGTATACACCCTATACCTATACTCCTACATTCAGTGAAACGACTATACAGCGTTCGAACACTCAGCACAAGCAGCATTCCCAGCCCCCGTGAGGAACTCAGCACAAGCAGCATTCCCAGCCCCCGTGAGGAAGCGACCAAAGTACTCAGGGCCACTTGCGTAGAATTCGGCCACAATTTCGTGCGGCAAGAGCAGAGCATGACTCAGTAAGTCTCTCGGCTTGCCCATCCGATCAATATGCACCTCAGGTTGGAGATAAAAATTGGGGGGCTCATGTTAACCTGTCAGAGCGACAGCATGTATCCCCAACGTTGGTGTCGAGGTACGCAAGGCAGCTGCACAAGATACGGATGAGGAAAGCATTTTCGCCAGCTTTGTTTCCAAACCCAGCGAGTAAGCACCCGGTCGGCGCCCCACGCCTGTTCTGCGCCACGAAAGCTGACAGCCAGGTCCAGGTACTCCCGCCTCGAGTATATTCGCGAACACATGCACGCACGTCGACGCCGCAATTCATGCACACACACACACAGATGCACTCAGAGAGGCGCACGCACGCACGGCTTCTATTCTTCATGTTTCTTTTGGTCTTTCTCTTTCTCTCTCTCTCTCTCTCTCTCTCTCTCTCTCTCTCTCTCTCTCTCTCTCTCTCTCTCTCTCTCTCTCTCTCTCTCGCTCTCTCTCTCTCTCTCTCTCTCTTTTTTTTGTTTTTCTCTCTCGCTCTCTCTCTTTCTCTCTCTCTTTCAACTCTCTTTTTTTCCTCTTCGCTGCAGATACATCTTTGTCTATTTCTTTCTTTCTCTCATTCTCTCATTCTCTTTCTTTTTTCTCTAGGTTTTAGGGTTTACGGTGTAGGGTTTTTTACGTTTAAGATTTATGGCCCTCCCCCCCCCCCTCTCCTCCCCTCTCCTCCCTCCTGCCCTCTCCTCCCCTCTCCTCCCCCCTCTCCTCCCCTCTCCTCCCTCCCCTTTCCTCCCCTCTCCTCCCCTCTCTTCCCCTCTCCTCCCCCTCTCCTCCCCTTACCTCTTTCCTCTCCTCTCCTCCCCTCTCCTCCCCTCCCCTCCTCCCCTCCTCCCTCCCCGCCTCCCCCTCCTCCCCGGTTTTGGGTTTCAAGGGCCTCTATGTGTTTGGGTTTGAAGGGTTTAAAGGTTTTAAGGGCTTAAAGGGCTTAAAAGGGTTAAAACGGGTTTGAAAGGTTTAGGGTGTAGGGTTTAGGGTTTCGGGCTTATAAAAGTTTAGGGTTGAGAAGGTTGAAAGGGTTTAGGGTTTAGGGTTTAGGCTGTAGGCTTTAGGGTTTAGGCTTGAGGGTTCAGGGTTTAGGGTTAGGGTTTAGGGTTTAGGGTTTAGGGCTTAGGGCTTAGGGGGTTTTAAGGGCTTAAAGGGCTTGAAGGGTTAAACGGGTTTAAAAGGTTTAGGGTGTAGGGTTTAGGGTTTCGGGTTTCGGGCTTATAAAAGTTTAGGGTTGAGAAGGTTGAAAGGGTTGGTAAGGGTTTAGGGTTTAGGGTTTAGGGTTTAGGGTTGAGGGTTTAGGGTTGAGGGTTTAGGCTTTAGGCTTTAGGCTTTAGGCTTTAGGCTTTAGGCTTTAGGGTTTAGGCTTTAGGGTTTAGGGTTTAGGGTTAGTTTAGGGTTTAGGGTTTAGGGTTTAGGGTTTAGGGTTTAGGGTTTAGGGTTTAGGGTTTAGGGTTTAGGGTTTAGGGTTTAGGGTTTAGGGTTTAGGGTTTAGGGTTTAGGGTTTAGGGTTTAGGGTTTAGGGTTTAGGGTTTAGGGTGTAGGGTAGGGTTTAGGGTTTAGGGTTTAGGGTTTAGGGTTTAGGGTTTAGGGTTTAGGGTTTAGGGTTTAGGGTTTAGGGTTTAGGGTTTAGGGCTCCCTCCCCCTCTCCCACTCCCTCTCTCCCTTTCTCCCTCTCTCCCTCTCTCCCTCTCTCCCTCTCTCCCTCTCTCTCCCTCTCTCCCAGTCTCCCTCTCTCTCCCTCTCTCTCCCTCTCTCCCAGTCTCTCTCTCTCTCTCTCTCTCTCTCTCTCTCTCTCTCTCTCTCTCTCTCCCAGTCTGGCGCCCAGTTCGCAAACTCAGGGCTCTGCGGCACGATCTGCGCAGGCAGCATCTCGAACTTACCTGCAGCTTGGCGTGCAAGTTTCCTCGATATGTACACCCCTTGTCCCTAAACCCTTAAAAACCCTAATACCCTATTACACTAAACCCTAAACTCTATAGACCCTAAACCCTAAACTTGGTGGAGCACATGCTGCTGCACGCTGCGCATGCGTCGTTGGGGCTCCCAGCGCACTATCTTTTTGACTTTTTGGATGTCCACCTCCGAAAGCCAAGTATAGCGCAGGGCGTCTACATGGTTCGTGATTTAAAGAGCTTGCCAACACGGGAGCACGCTTGGGCCTGACCGTCGCCGATCATCTTGAAGAGCTCCTTCATCAAGCTTTGCACCATGATCGTGGGATCCTGGCAAACGCAAGCATATCTTAGGCACGAACCTCGCTAGATCTGGCGGGCAATCTGATCAAGACGCGCGCGGCTGTTTTTCTCAGTTGCCCCATGATGCTCTGTAAGGCTTTCAGCTAGCTCTCGACTCCCTGCTTGCCTCCCAGCGAGTATACCCAAGAATGAAGATGCGCCAGGATGGTGCTAGAACGCCTATCCACGCTGGCACAGCAGGGCTAGCTAGATCGGATACCGCTGCGATTGCTGCGCAATCGGCAAAAGTTTGAAAGGTGCGAAAAGAACCTGGCTCTGGCGGGTCTGCGCAGAAACACATCTTGCGCACATCTATCCACCAGGCCAGCCTACAGCAGATCCCGAACTCGGGCAGAATGAGATGTTGTTGCGTGCTATGGGCCTCCGCGCGGGCATGAGAGTCTAAGATAAGATGTCGAGTCCGAGGGGACAAAGAAACAGCGCTGCTCACTCACTCAGGGCCCTTGCAGCGGCGCCGCTTGTTTGCCGCGTCTGCGTGCGCCTCCTCAAGGGTCCTCCAGGCGTCCTGCTGCTTCCTCTCCTTTTCCTGGTCCTCCTCCTCCTTCTTCTTACGGTCCGCGTCCTTTTTCCTTGCCTTTTCCTCCTCCCGCTTCAGCTTGTCTTCTTCTGGGCAAACTGTGTTTGTGTGCTATCATCATTCATCTAAATAACCTTTGAGGAGTCCGGGGTTTTGCATTTGCAGCATCCAAGGTCTGGGCGCTTCTTCTTGGACTCAATGAACGCGTTGGCGTGGTCGACTTCGACCTGGCATGCCTGCATGGACACATGGGCTTGGTAATGCGCAGGCATTCACGTGAAAATTCGCTAGAAGCTAGCACTCACACGACTGATCTTGCCTTCCCCACTCAAAACCCTGCAGTCACTGTTTGGTCGGTTGTTCTAGAAACTCAAAATCCTGGTGGAGCGGTCGGTGTGAACACGTACTGGAAACAACGCTTGTACGTCGACTTCTGCAGCGGACACGTTGTGTAGCAGAGCTCTCGGTTGTAGTCTAGTAATCACATGTTGGCAACGCCATGGCACCGATCCACATCTAGAGCTTACTTGTGTGCCCAAGGTAAACATTGGACTGCGCTGCGCATGGTTGGCCTCGAAGGCGTCCTTGTTGGCGACGATGTACGCGCCCACGTCTGCTGGAGGGCTCCTCAGCAAGTAAAAAGGAACCCCAACCCCTTAACCCCAAACACTACAGACCCTTTAAACCCTAAAGCCCAAACCCTAAAACCCTAAACCCTAAAGCGTAAACCTGAAATCCTAAATCACTAAACCCCTAAAATCCTTAAAAACCCTATGCACCCTGTTATAAACCCTACCCTAAACCCTATAAGCCCTAAGCCCTAAACCCTAAACCCTGAGTCGTACACTTGTTGGAGACATGCACTAGCTCAATTAAGGCCCAGCATGTCCAGAAGCACAGTTTGGCCAGGGCACTTCTTGCCGTTTTTGCCGAACACCATACCTTCGAGATGTTCCTGGTGTGCCTTCACCACATCCATTTTGTCCCCGAGAGCTTGCTGCATTTCTGCAGTGTGTGGCAGCTTTGACAACGTGAGTGAAGCTGCCCGGCAAGATTTCATTAAGGTGGTGATCGCATCGAGATCCTTGTTGAGCTCCTTCATCTCGGCGTCTTCGTCAGAAAGCTGGCAGCACAATTGGAGAAGCAAGCACAGTGATGATAGCGTGTGCACACGGTGACATGCACATGTGAGCATTCCGCGCCAGCCTGCTTAGTCTTGCCACCGCCCTTCCCTTTGCCACCCTTACCACCCTTTCCCATATTCTTGCCGGTTGGCACGTCAGTGAAGGCCGCCCCAGCTGCCATCACACTCTCCGACAAGAGCTGCCGTGCCGCGAGGCCTGCCTGACCGTCACCCAGGTTGGCACGGCCTTGGACCCCTGTCGACACACCTGTCGAATGCTTGTTGCTGTCCGTGAACTTCACAAAGTGCTTGTAGATGCGTGCCCGGTGATTCGTGGGGTCCTGCCACTTGCCCCATGAAGCTCGCCCCAAACACAGGGCAACGAACTACGCACGAGTCTGTGCATGATAGTCCTGAGGATGCGGTCGGCCTTCTTGCCCTACAGCAAATGTCAAAGTCATATCTATAGCTCTCAAGATCTGACGACAGCTTAAGGTCCCGACTTGCAACGACATTGTCTTGCAGCCACTTCTTTTCTTCCGGGGTCGAGTAAAGCTTTTCGAGGACAAAAAGGGGTTGCTCCTCGAACAGCCCTTCGTTCTCGTGGGTATGACTTTCCCGAAACTCAGCTGCGACCTCGCAGGACTGCATCGAGCTGTCCACCATGAAGGCCTTCCTGCAACGCGAATGAATCTTGAATTGGGTGACCCCTTTGCTTGGAGGTTCAGGGTCCTGTTAACCCAATTATTACTGTACCTAGAAGCCCCCTAAGTCCTCTAGGTTACAAGTAGACTGATAATTGGGGCTCTAAGCACCCATGAACGTC